ATCCGTAGATACTCTCTGCTGAGATGTGAAGATGTTCAAAACAAAAGAAGTAAGTATGTCAATGATAATACATTTCAATTAAATGCTGAACAAATCAGGCGACGCGCGATGTACTTCTAAAATTGGACATGTTTTTTAAAATCTAACCTATAAATAAAATGTGACGCTTAAATAGATATGTTTACCATTCATTCTAGAGATTGAAGAAAATTAAGTGAACACCATATTCCATATTTGGAGGAGTTGTCGCATCTGAGAGTTGCATGTCCTAGTCTTGAAATTTTTATTTTAAACGGACATTTTCATGCCTGAAACTAATATGACTGACCACGATAAGACTTATGAGAACGGTATCCCGACAGGGATCTAATTGCATTAAAAATACGGTTTCTCCTTTTCACTCGTAATCGTCGTCAGCTATTGCTTTTTGTACGCTCTTAAAAAACTGGAAAAGTAACACATGAAAATTCGTCTTTCATAAGCAAATATGTGAAAGTTACTAAGAAAATTGTTACCATTTACTAAAGCTAAGCAATCTCAATATTTGTCTACCAAAAAGTTTTAAATTTATGAAAAAATATTAAATTATTCACACATGAAAACATTAAGCATAACATCCATGCCTTGCTTTTGATACCGTACATGCTAAAAATTTACATATAACGTATGTTTCTTGTCTTATCTTCTTGCTAAACTATGGTAATTTCATTCCGTTGATCACATGTAAAGAACATACAAGGTAAGAAAAAACAACAAGGAAGCAGTATATTTCTCCTGAGGCGACATATAAATTTATACAGTGTTGTGAACAATGAGAATGAATTCATTCAAAAATTTACAGAAAACTCCAAAGACGGTATAGTGTATATCTGTTGTTAATCCATATATCAAAACCTGAATAGTTCTAAACATGTCCTTCTTTCCATGGGTCTGTCAATGTCTGCGGCAACAATCTCTCGGTCGTAAAACTTAAATAAGGCACAAACATCTTAAGTTCGTCCACGTAGGTTCGCAATGAATAAGGTGAATCAACCGCCTAAAGAAGGCGCCTGTAATTCAACATAAGCTAAGAACACTTTTGCTTTCTGGCTTTTTAGTATTCATTACTCCTAACCACCGATAGATATGGAACAAAAATTTCCAAGTACATGTAGCTATATATATTGAGTGGATAAATAAACGATTTCGGACCATTTTCCATATTTGGCAAAATCATCATATGAATAACTGTAGGGTAATGATAAGTCGCGACCCACTATAATGTTTCTTGTTGTGTAAAATTTATTTAAAATATGTTTGTTACAAAGTTTAATAGTCGAGGCATTCACTCGGATAATCTCGAAAGAAAATGATTGCGTGGTTTCGAAGCGAAATAGTCATCAACCCATTTCCGCACATTTTTAACTATTGCGAGCTACTGATCTACTAAACTGACTGCATCGATCTGAGCCAGACCTAATCAGAAGAATGTAGGTATGGAGAATGCGTCGCAATTGAGCTTGCTTTCGGTGTAGACGAACAGACGCATTCCACCACATTCAAGACAATAATTTTTTGCACGAAATTTTGCAGTTATGTGTTAAAGCTTGTTGCATATTCACTCCAAATCAACTTAATAACTTCCGTAAGTTTACAAACGTTTTGTTCCTTTTTAAAAGAGAAAAAATTGCCATTAATGGCATCCATCTTTTTGTACCTCCACACACCCTAAACGTCAGCTTGCAAACCACCGCAGATTATACAGCGCAAGTCAATGTCAAGGTTATCTGTTCCCAAAATTTCGGAAGAAATGAACGCTTCAAATATGTTTTAGCAATCAATCAATTTCAAAACGGAGAATTTATTTATAATAAACACACAAAAAGGGGTAAAAATCAACCACGCCTATCCAATATTACATAGTATGAAGATTTACTTTTTAATTTTACTGGGGCTTCTTTAAGAGAAAGTTGATGGATGTAAAAATTATAGTTTTATTACAATTTTTTTTTTTAACGTAAACTGCAAAGTCATAATTTCAGATACCTCTAGGAAATATGTCAAACTTCAAATCCTTTACGCCTTGCAATCGTGAATTTGTCGCACCGAAACAAAATCAATTCAGGTAAATATTTTTATCAAATATTTCGCCTTCATCTGCTATGGGATGAAATCTGAGAAACCTCTTATTGTGGACACAGCTGAATCCTCTCAAACTTTTTCAATTAATTAAGGCATACTAGTCAAATAGCAGTTTCTTTATGTATTTCTGTGAAAGCAAACGCTTTAACAATATATAGACAGGCAGATGAGCGAACAAAGCGCTGCGGGAAAGTACGTATATCCATCCAAGATTATTCGATGGCAGAAGGAATTTTCCACAACTTCATTTTAGTGAAATCAGCACAACTTGTGTCTCACCAGCTAGCCATAAACATGCGTTAAAGTTGTATTGTTCCAGTGCCGTTACAGTTAGCTAACTCTGTTTTTTCCTTTGACCCGCTACCCACTTAGGTTACTTATGCTCCCATTGAGATTGATTGTGTGTTCGTTCTCTCCTTTGTTCATTATCATCTCTGCTGTCATGAGAGGCGACCAAAATATTTTCAAATTTTAATTCAATATTTATTTGCAATCGTTTCTAGAAATTCCTAACGCAAACCAACATGTGGGCGAGTGTTACAGAAAAATGCTCGTGATTATTTTTGGAAAGCTCATTGTTTACCTTTTCAAAGATATTTTGTAGAATTTCCATATCGTTGTTATTAGCAATTAGTGTTAAAAATTCGATAAGCATCGTTGTGCATAACAATAAATTCCAATAAATAAAAGGAAAAGCATATACGTATGCACACATTTGTTCACATACATACAGTTACACTAAATAAAAAGCCGCGAAAAAAACAGCTATCGATCTAGAAGAAAAATTTTATGTTTTTTACCAGAATATGTTATTCTAAAGCTCAAACTTGAACTTTTCAGTCAATCGGTTGAGAATTGAAATACGTAAAACACGGCCAAGGACATCTTCTAAAAAAAAATAAAATGGTGATTAATCAACGCTTCTACACAGCCACTTCGTTTTTAAAGAATTATTTAAAAAATTAATTTAAACACGCCTTAGCTTATATAAAGCGCATATAATAAATATTGTTAATACATCGCTATTATCTAAATTTTCAGGCTCGCGAGCGCCTAACCTGGCCAAGAATTTATGTGCTTTATGGGGTTTCGATTATAAAGGTTTTATACTTTGATACGCTATAATATTGGTTAGGCGTAGTTAATTTTTCTTATTATTGTACAGATATTACAACATCGCCCAGAGAACATACGAGTACATATGAGTAATGACCAAAAAATCAATTTTTTATTCCTTTTGGAAAACAGAGGTGTGCTCATTTAGTACTTTAGGAGTGTCCTTAGACAGATATTGCCCATTTCTCAATACCAACCTCTGTGCAACAATTTCCAATTGATGTCAAATTTGGAGACGATAGCTTCATGTTTGCGACCAGGAGAATGTCTGCAAAAGATATTACATACAGAGACAGATGGACAACTAGACAAACGGACAGACTTGAATCGACTCAGAATTTGATGCTGATCAAGAATATTTATACTTTGTGGCGTCTCTGAAGCTTCCTTCAGAATATAACCTTGTCAAGTAAACTTTTAGCTACATATCGCACAAATATTAGATTGTTGTGAGAATCTATGCCGTCATAAGGAAGGCATTCAAGCAAGAACAGATATTAAAGTCATGATAGCCTGGTAAAAAATCTTGAGCAACAGTCAGATATAGAACTTCTAAAGTGTTACCAATTTCGACCCCTGGCCGATCAAGAATTCCTCCGTATTTAGAATTTATCCAAGTTTGCAACAAATGAAAAAACATAAATAAGCAAACTTCGAATTTTACGTTTCTAAAGAACATATATACTTAAACTTAATGACATCTCTAATAAATATTAGTGACGGAACCAAACACAATGACTAATATAGTATACCACTATTCTTCGTTGGTAGTTATGAAAAGTTCACTATCCACATTTCCTGTGCTTTACATATATAGTAAACAAGCGGGGGCGACTTGCCTATCACGGCGAGAACATCAAATGAAATTGAAATACAGATCTCAACTGTGTTTAGTTATTTCTCCCAAGCACATGCAATACGACGCTTTTGAAAAGCGTAAACATCCTGTTCTGTATATAACTACATAATCTCTATAGGAGCTGACAAAAGAACAAGCTATCACTACATCAACATGACAGACGCACACACGCCTTACGCATCCTTCAATACTTACTTAACGTAAACAACCGAAAGCAAAAATATAAGTTTATGTACACGCTGACGTCTCTCTAACGTATTTAACATAAAACGCTTGAAGGAAATACAAGAGAATAACGATAATATAATTACAAGAATAATTAAAGCAGTGAGGTACCTTACTTAAGATTTTCAAACTTGATGAGTAGAGGAAAAAGAATATTCGTAGACAAAGCTGCTTTTCACCGGTTTTTACCGAGCCAGTGGTACCACGTATGTTAAGTGTATGCAGATGAAGGTACAGGCAAAAAAAGTTTAAAACAGATCCATTTTTTATTAACCATTTTCTGAATCATTTTAAGTATATGTGTCCGTCTGCTTTTCTGTTCTTACTTTGGTACGCCTTTATATGGGAAAACGTTACAGTTTCAGTAAGTCTTTGTATAAGGCCTAATTTGTAGTACGTTACAGCGAGACGAATTGAATAATCGCAAGATCTTTCTGCTAAATACGTCGATGATTGTTTTTACCTTCTTACATATAATGGCTACCACGAAAAATATGGCCTAAATTGAACATACGTTGTGATTTTTGGTATTTTATTTCAAAAATTAATAAATGAATTGTGGTAAGGTGGGCTTTCCAAAATTGTTTTTAATGTGTTTTACTTGTTTTAAACAAAGCTGCATTTCTAACAAATAGGCAGTCTTCTTGATAGTTCTAAGAATATCTTTTTTTATTTTCAGGCAAGTTAGTGCGAATAAGCTCCAACTGCATGTTCATGTGGATAAAAGTATAGTATTACCAATAAAAACAAGTAAGAATGCTACAGTCGGGCAAAGCACGCCATTATAAATCCTGCATCACTGCGCTTACGGTCATTCACTCATTTTCTTAATAAAACATTAAAAATTTTACATTATATATTTTTACACAATGCAAAATTTTCGCTAAAGTCATCATTTTGGAGGATACTCAAAACATCAACTAACGTGGTCCAAATTTAGCAAACTTACTTTACTTGTATTTCTTGTATTTCTGAACGTTACAATATGTTTTTATGTGGGATGTGGTCAATATAGCAAATTTCATTAAAATATTCCGAAAATTGCGACCTATAGGCTGAACCAAAAAGCACATATCAGGCGGCCAGACGTACAGACAAGTTTAGATCAATCCAGAAAATCGTTCTCCGAACGATTCAGAGTCGTTTTTTGAAAATTTTAGAAAAGTTGAAACTTAACTCATGGAAATGCTACGCGATATGTGGCCAATGCGATTTTCTTAAATGTGTTTGAGAAACAATATTGACCAATATTCAATATCCAAGTGTGGTACGTACACTTCTATCAGTTAAACAACAGTAATTTAACTTTCTATATGATATATTTAAGCATTTATAATATGTATAGAGCACAAGAGAACAAGAGTTGAAAATTTTAACGAAATTATTAGTTTTAAAATTTGTTTAAAGAAATAGCAAGAGTTATCGAAATAAATCGATTAAATATACGTTTCAACTGCTTTTTTGTTTGGATTTGCGTCTATAGCTATCACACTCACTCTTATTTAAATACCATATAGAAACGAGAGTACACTATCAGCGCAAGCACCTCAAATGAAAATTTTTCCCTCATTGCAAAAAAACGTAAACATTAAGGTGGTTCAATATATTAAATAAAAAGAATTTTTGAGAAATGGAATATATCTTAACAAGGAGATGTTTTATTTTGCACCACTCTTATTTATGATTGTCGTCTTCTCTTTTATCTCTCTTTTCCCGCTTCTTCTTGAAACAATTATTCACAATAGAGGCATGACAGCAACAAAAATACCCATTATTTGTAAAAGAGCAGTTGGTGTAGAGAAAACAAGAAAGATTTATAAACTACTGTCAAAGCAAATAAATTTAATGAAAATTTGCTATATTTTAGAATGTTTTTACCAACAAGAAACAATATTTCTATAAATTAATTCTATTCAAATTAATATAAAGAGCGATAACAGTGCACCATATTTGTTTCGAAATTTTTTGGAAAGTGAGTGCTAGATATTGATAAGATATAATTAAAAAATTGATCGGAAATTTATGTTTACAATTGCTAAGATTTTGTGGCACCTACCAAAAAAAATTTCAGTGGATTCCTTAAGAAATAGGTCTTCTTTTTTGACATATATTCTCTGAAATACTGTGAATAAGTGTTTAGAAAAAATGGAAAGTGACGGTGTAGAAGGTATATATGAACTGCAAAGACCGGTAACAAATGGCGGTGAAAAGTGCAACGATAGCATCATTAGGCAATCTCAAAGTTTTTCTGTAGTTCATACTGCCGCTTTAAACTCTTTACACGATTTAAACCCACTTGAAGAGGTAAATTCTGAAATAATCGTAGCCCGGAACGTAGGAGTTCGTATTCATTAAAAATGTCGGGAATGTGTTCTTATTTTTCTCTCCAGGACGTTGAAATTGCTGATTTAAACGCTAAACTGGAAGAGACCACCGAGATGCTTGAAGAAGAAGACGACGAAGAGCATGACGAAGAAAATGAAATTATTGAAGAACATATTCTAGAAGAGGTGGAGGAGGAAGAAGATATTATGGGTGAGACAGAAATACTGGAAGGTGAGGAAGTTGATGACATCGAAGCTGTCATTCCCGACAGTAATGAAGTAGAAGTAGAAATAAATAAAAATAAAACGCCCGCACAAGTGCCCAAAAAACGTAAAAATAACGATATCGAGGCTACGATAAAAAAGAGAGATCAAAATGACTCGCCTGCAGATAATTCACAAGATAACCTTGATTGTGAACAACCTACCAGCAGCTCGAGAACTAAACAAACACAAGATGAAGAAGTTGATGAGAATCAGTGCCGCGTTTGCACTACCAAAGATGATTTGGTGAGTCTCTTCAAGAAGATAGAACAATCAACAGTAGCGGAAATGCTGATGTCTATTTGTCCTTCGGTCTCCATAGCGATGAAGGATTTTTTGCCGCAGTATATATGCAATTCATGTTTAGATAACGTGGTAATAGCAGTACTTTTAAAAAACCAATGTGAATCAAGTGAGAAAGAGTTTCGAAAAAAGCTGTCGCGTCACAAAAATAAAATACGCCGGCCTACTGGATATGTAACTATCGACGGACCACTCGACTCGGATCCAGCCTCTGATGAGGAATTGAATAATGATGACGAATTTAAAGTATCTGATGTGGCCAGTGCGACACCGGATGAAGATTCTTACGACACTGATTCTAGTGAGGAGAAAAGGGCAAGAATACGTAGTTCCAATCCAAGACGTGGTAGACCTAAAACGATAGTCAGTACACCTACTTTCGTTTCAAAAAACAGTATTGAACAGAACAAAAAACCCAATATTCAACGAAAACGTTCCAGCGAAAACGAATCCAGCGATGATGAAGATAATAAACATAAACGTAAACGCATCTCCGTGTCTGATGATTCACAAAGCGAACAATTTCAATGCGACGAATGCGAGCAAGTGTTTACGCGGAAACTTTCCTTGGTCCTTCACAAGAAAACTCATTCTGAACCTATAGCATGCCAAGTGTGTGGCAGACAATTTAAAATGAGAGGGGCTTATCGCACACATCTCGAAAAGCACAAAGAAGGAAATATGGGTCATAAATGTTATAAATGTAAACGCGTTGTAGCAAGCAGTGCGGAACTGAGGCGACACCTCCTGGAAGAACATCATGATCGAGGTGAAGTTATGCGTGAGTGTCGAAAATGTAAACGAACTTTTTCATCACTGGCGCGCTTGCACCGTCATCAGGACGGTCGTTGCCCAGCTAGCGAAACAAGAAGGAAACAAGATATAGAAGCTTTTGCAATGGGCAAGGATCTCTTTAAGTCGGTTGCTCCTCTAACCACAACTTATTGGAGTGACAGTTTTTCCGATTAAAACCAGAGAAGGAAAATTTCAAATGAATTGGACTTGTTCCATAAAGTTCAAAAGCATTGAAAAATATTTTAATTGATTTTCGAAACTACACGTATGTGCCATCGTAGAATGTGTAACACTTAAAAATGAACATCGTAAGTGTGCGATTTCAAGTCGATGTCCGTATGTCTGTTGTGTTAAGAGACAAAGGTGCTGCAATTGACATGAAAAGAGGAAACTTTGCGCGTATATCTTAACTCGATTCCACGTACTCACTTTAACAAGGTCTTACTTGTCATCATTGGCTAAAGGGAGAAAGTCTTTAAAAAAAAGCCTGCATTATAAAATGTTTTTCTCAATAAATTATTTGTAACGCTTTTAAGGTTTTGGGCAACAGTTGATCCAGTCCTTATTTAAGGTCTGTGTCGAAATAGTTCCCATAATATCCCTAAAACTAACCCTCTAACAATTCTCAGATAATGACTTGAATGAATATTTTATTTCTTCAAACGTTTAAATTATTACTTTTGTTATTAAAAGTATTTCTTTATTAGTTTTTAAAATCTATTTGTTTTTACGCATTCATTGCTTTATTTATCTTTTTTTTTTCTTCTGCTTCATCAGCATTAGAATTTCTACGAATTGATCCATTTTATATGTATTTTTAAACTAAAAGTTAAGTTGATAGAAAGAAACTTAAAATAAGTTAATAGAATGTAACTCCGAAACTATTGCTAATTCTGTAAATTGCATAAAAACAAAGCTTGGACTTGGTTTTGATTTTAATCATTCGGGATTGAGCCACTCTTGTCCAGCGAACATAATGAAATGTAGACTAGTTAAAAACAAGTAAATAACGAGGTCGATTATCAAATACCTTACGCCACTTCGCCTTGTACAATTATCTACTTATTTCCTCGACAATAGCAAATAGTTTGCTTCCATGAAAAGCGAAACGATTCATAAGTGCCCAAGACGTAAACTGGCGTAGTTCCAATTTTAGCAAATTTAACTTTCTTGAAGATTTTTCTATCCTTCATGTATTTGCCACAAATTAGACATTGTTGCCAAATGAAGTCTTACCATTCATAAAAACCATCTATAACAGACATGGGCGAAATGGCTCGTAAGGTAGTCGTTGATTGTGGCCCGTTACATTTAAGATTTCAAATAATTAAAATTACTCACGCAGATGGATTGTTTCTGCCTTCCAAACCGACTATGCTGTGCTCTACAATACATATATAGTTACGGATCCCGGAGTATAGGGATCCAAATTTGTTACGGTCAAGTATAATGCCAAGTCATCATTAAGGATCAATTCCCAAAACGTTAAAAATTGAACCATTTTGCCATGTAGGAGTTTATATTTCGTGAAAATTCCTTTGTGGGATGCCTTCCAAAAATGTACCCACTTGGTCCAAATTTGATAACAATAAGTTTTATGTCACATTACTATCACCTTATCCAAATTTATTACAGTCAATTTTTATATCGGATTACTACGGTGAAGCACTTTTCATTATAAAATATAAAAAATTTAACGTTTTTAGCATATAAAGCATAAGTGGTTGAAATGCCGAAGTACTATCTATCGCTTAGCGATTTTCGTCGATAAAACATGAAAACTGAAATGTTTCCATATAAAAAGTTGTTTTAAATATGGAGTTATTTGGGAAGCGGTTCAATCCAATCCATTTGAAGTAGGATACTTCCTTGGCCCAGAACCCGCTAGTGTTTCGATTTTCGTGAAAACATCTTAAAATTTATTACCTTTAATTTGAACACAATCGGCCGGTGCAGTAAAAGATGTCTAAGTTCTTGTAGTTTTTACGTACATCCCAACAAATTTAACACCACTAGTCGTGCAAATTATAAAACATTATTAGTGAAGATCACGAAATCTTTAAAAGGATTAGAGATTTTCAAAAAATCCATAATTGTTTTAACTAATAGTACATCATGGGTTAAAAGATTTGGAGTAATAATCTAGAAGAGAGAGGCTTTCGAAATTGGGGTTATCAGGCTTGAATGTTAAACAGCTGAGAAGTTTAAACGTATTTTTGTTAAAACTTTATTATTTAAGTCGGTGGACACGATTTCTCATAAACAAATGCAGCGATCTTATTAAAATGTTTCATACTTCTCCAATCCCAAACAGGATTGACAAGTGCTTGAACGAAGGATCTTTCCTCTGCAATCACAACTTATTTTTTACAAAGCAACATATGGTGCAAGTTTAAATGAGAAAACTTAGTTTTTTGTCTACGACTGCCAAAAAGTCAAATTTCAATTTTTTTTTTCTAAATCTTCGCTCAAGCTCGAACCATACTCAACTACTAATAGAAAATATTTGGTTTTTTGATTTCAGATAAAGCTGTCACAAGTTATCGTGTCCACCTCGAAAATAAGAGGTCTCCGAACAGCACACCTCAATGGCCGAATTTTCAAGACTTTTAAATGAAAATTTTTACAAAATATAGTTTAAATGTAGCTCTTTTATATTCTTAAAAGTTTGAATAAAATAACTCTTTTTATTATATTTAAAACAATAAAAAAGGAAAAAAATAGTTTTCTTTTCTTCGAAACACAAGTAAACCTTTCATGAATAATCCTTTGTCCGTCCTATTATCGATCTGGTTTGTATAAGTGAAACTTGGTTACGAACCGAATTGTGAGTCGAAATAAGTTTTATGAGATAAAAAAATACTACTTGACGCGATGTAATAGACCGTGTAACTTCAGACGTGATTGCGTTACCTATATTGAGAACAAAAGGTCTGAACTGTAAGGCCTTTTTAAACTCTATTGAGGACATCCTTTTTGAATATCCTCATGCACTTATAGAGAATTTAGCTAAACAGAGTAAGAAAAGTGTACGTCGCCTTGGTTACTAATCTACTATAGATGGCCTAATGTTATACCCATTCAAAAGGAAAGCCAAAATTAACGTGATACGAATTCTCTGCCACGTCTTTCACCGGTTTATAGTTTGTCAATGTTCTCAATCTTGAATCAAAATCTTGATTCAAATGTAATCTTAGATTAATAGATTAAAGCCATTTGAATTTGGTGGTAAAGTGAAACTTTAATCCTCGCTATTCTTTTCGATATATATAGAATAGAAATCAAACTAAGTCTGAGATATGTCATGTACCGCGAGTCGTCGTTTTTCAATCCGCCTTTGGAGCAACCTACCAAAAGTGGGCTTTCCCGTATCTAATCTCTCCATTTCCAAGTCGAACGTTCACAAACATTATTTCCTCACCCCCGTACAATTCTTCCTGATCACCACGTTGCTCGCACGTGTAAGGTAAATCGTCTGATTGGCTGGTTATAGAAAAAAAAAATCTCTGAATTAGTTTCTAAAAAAAACAAACGTAAATAGAATAGGGTACCAGAGCTGTCTTTAAAAATTGCAGAGTCCACTCTATCAACTTAATAAAGATCAGATCAGAAATTTAATATATGTTTGTAAGACTATTCAAAGCCTATGTCATATATAAAAAAGTTCTTTTAAATGGATTTCTAGCTAATCAAAAGTCGGTCTCCGACTGATCGATGTAAGGTTTGCAAAAGAACTTTTTGAATTGCTTCACCTTTTATTTCCTTATGATGTTGAATATATTTTCCCATAGAGAGACATTATTATTAGTCTCGTTAGTCTAAGAGTAACGATTTTCCCTGATATTATTATTATTAACGTTATTATTATTATGATTGACTTGCTACAAAAATTAAGAATTAAAAAGAAAAAAGTGTATAATTTATCAATTTAAACAATTAAGCAAATGAATACAAGAAAGACATACACATAAACAAGGTACATTTTTCATTTATTTATAAGTTATATGTATTTTGTATAAAGAAAAAAAACTATTTCTTTTGGCATCTTTTATGTACAATTCAAATATGAAATAAATGAAATTGAAAGCAAACAGGTGCGAAAATTATACTAAGGACTAAGCATTCGTATTATATAATATTGGCTGAGCGCGGCTGATTTTTTCTCTTTTAGAATAAAAAAAGAAGTTTATATGATAAATGTGTTGTATAGAGCAAAGCGGAGATGTTCACTGCTCTTGCTGTGTAGATGATGCGGCGTTAAACGCGCGTCCTTTCACCGACATAGCTCATTTTCAAATTTGTTTGCAAATTTGAATGAGCGAACGAGAGCATGTTTACTATTGGTACCACACAGTTGGGCGAAACGACAAATGGGCAGACAGACATGCTTAGGTGCATTGCAAATCCGGAAGGGATCCAGAATTTACATTCTTACGAATTCGCTTTTCTAAAATATAGGACTCGTACCCCTAGATCGTGGATATTCTTTTCGAGAGAAATACACTTTAAAAGTCTTTTATTTGCGATTATATTCCTTAACAATAGGATTATTCACAATTCATTTCGACGGTACTCTTGACTCAAATGGTCTTATCCGACTAACTCTGCTTTCCGTAAATATTCTATTTATATACATTTTTACGAGCATATTACTATTGCCTAATTTCATTGCTTCATTTTTAATCCGTTAACCTGCTTTTCCGGTAATCGTTTTTCTCGGCTGGTAGCGGCATGATGCGCCTGCGAATGTGCACTTGGTTTTTCCCTGTCTGCTTTTCCGCAAGTCCTTTTTTATCGGCCGGCAGCTGCATGACGCGCCGCGAATGTGTATTTGGTTTTTCCCTCTCTAGGGAATTTATAGTTTGGGAAAATTAATTATCCGAAATGAGCTGCATTTAAGATTTCCATAACAATATGTTTTATGGGACTTTTGAAGCTTGCGTTTGTGTGTTATAAAACTATTCGAAAAAATTAAAAAAGAAAAATTCAGATTTTTGTACATTTATCTTCTTTGATTTGCAAATATCGCGCGAAAAAGAATTTCTTATACCTTTTGAAAAACAACGTTGTCCTCACTTTACGCAGTAATGTAGGCGTGTTTTTCGGTCGGTTTGTTTCTGCCAAATTGGAAATCAATAGCTTCTTGCAACCAGGATTTTGTTTACAATAGACAGTGGACGAACGGACAGACGTCTTCTTTTTCCTCCAGTATGATGCTGATTGCTTACAAGTATTACAAAAAAGAAAAAAAAGAAATACCGGCACAAGTGTATCAAGTAGATGAAATAAAATCCGCAATAGCTTTATTTTCATTGTATGTATAAGAAAAGTCGCTATGATAAATCCATATGGGTTAAATCCCATTCTTCGCCATATTATTACATTCTCAAATCGCGTATCTGTATTGTATTCAAGGATTTTTTCCAAGATAAGAACATGGAGTAGGAAGTAGCTCGTTTGCTTCTTTTGAAGGTATAACGATTTTTTTACTTCCTCTTAGTACTTTCCATGGGAAAAGCCAAACGTTTAAGTATACAACAGAAGATGCCACGTTTTTCACTCTCCATACTGTTTGTACTGACTAATTTCTGCAGACATATGTAACACCACCCATCCTTCGGTGATGCGCATGATAATAAACTGCAATTGCCATATAACAACTATGAGCCAAGAGTGTGAACTTGAAGAAGACAACTGCTCGAGAAACAGTGCTTGAGTGTCGTAAATGCAAACAAAGTATTTCACTTTATTAATGTAACATAACAATATAGGTTATAATCTAAAATCCATTGACCGGCTTTATCAGTGAAAAAGCGGAACACACCATCCAATCACCAATGTGTTTACTACTACTGGAAGTCATTTAAATAAAATATTTAGAATCAAAAATTGACGTGCAATATAATCGATGTCACTTTAAAAAATTCATTCATAACCACCTTTATAGTAAAATGGAATATGCGAACCTACATTGCTGCTGAGTTGTTTAGGAGTAACGACTAAAGCACTCTTTTTTTTTTTTTTGCTTTTGAATACAGAGGCGCCCTCTACGATCGGCTTGGCTCGTGTTCAGTACCAACCTGTCTGCAGCTATTGCCAATGTGTTTCACGAATTTGAAGTCGAAATGTTCATTTTTGCTACCATAAGCAAATAAAGAGACGAACAGCAAGATGGACGGATAAAGTTTCTTGAAAATTTCTTTCCGTACAAATGTTTTGATAAAAGAGGGAAACTCCTATGTTGTGCGACATTGCACCATCGTCCTTCTAGGTATTACAAAGGTTTTGACATTACGAATGTATCCCCAATCCTTGGTATATAATAAATTACTATATATATTGTATATTTTATTATTTACGCGCACCGGAAAACTTAAAGGGTATGCATGTAGTATATAAGGGCCCTGATCAGCATGCCATTTGAGTGGGATTTTGGTGCGTTGGTCCGTGCCGTCTGTTCTCAGAAAGTTCGCTTTCCCACGTCGAAAATGGAGACAAAAAGCTTATATTGCAATGATGGGAAAATTGCCGCAGTTGAGCCGCAAATAAGTTATAGCACGATCTATGGCAGATGTTTATGTAAAAACCGATGGCCAAAGTCATCTGATCGGTCATCGCAAAAACGGATGTAATTCTTAAATTTTACAACGTTGCTGCATAGTAATACTAGTAGATAAGAGCCGCGAAGTTTACCCAGTCGGCGTTCATGCGTTCAAATCTCAATGCGGTGGACCATACGTGGCCGTTGCTATAACGAGTGCTATAATGGTTGGCGCGTAACACTTACCGATTGGGGCACATAACCCTCAAAAATTTTTGTAAGCCTAAAAGTAGCCTTCAGTGCAGAGCTCATCATCATTTTGCTTGTACTAGAAGGTCAACTACCTTGACACCGAATATTTGATAATTACATGGCAGGAAAAAATGTAACAAGACGCTTTTAAAAATTGAATGAAAATGGAAAATATAAACGTAAATTAAAAGGAGAACTACGCGTTACGTGTGCAAAACCATAAAAAAAAATTTCATTGTTATTATTCATCGTCTGGCGTGCGTATGAAGGCTCGCGAAAAATTGCGTTGCAAAAAAAATTGAAGTTATAAGGTCATTGGCTTGCTTTTGTTATATGTGCTAAGTTCATTGCGATACTACTGTTCTTCACCAGGATCAAAGTCCCACGAATGTGTCACCCCTTCATATAAGTAGAACAATTAATTTTTATAAAAAAAACATACACACACAAACAGATCTATTTAATATAAAAACAAGTAAGAAAATTAAATTCGGTCGGGGCGGAATCTTTTATATCCACCACCGTTTAACCCAAAAAAAGACAGAGAGAGAAAAAACGAGTCTATAATATGGAGTGGGCGCTATTGATTTCTTCTATATTCAAAGTACATGTTTTTCTCGTAGAGGTATCTCCATTATCGCTGACGTGAGAAATACTACACTACGCCACAAATACAACAAAGTTGAGCGAACAGACAGATAGACAGACGAACAGGCGGACATGTTTAGGTACATTCAGGAGTTGAAACTGGCGAAGAATCTGTATGCTTTTTCTTACTTCCACCCATTTTAATGTTGGCCGTAAAAGATTGTTCCCCTTTTTTTAGAATATCAATGCAAATTTTATTGTGTATCTATCTAATGTAGTGTACGAGCAATTAGCAAAAAATTCAGAAGCGAAAGGTTTTCCCTTTTAATGCTGCGTTGTACACGAATCCCTTCACTGACTTGGCCCACTCGTAAGGCCAACCAGCATTCAAAAATTTCTCCCTATTGTTTCTGCAAATTTTTGCGAACGAAACGAGTTTTGACAGTGCGGCTTATACATTGCTCTCCTTCAGTAGTGTGTATAACACATGCTGCAAGGATAGTTAGTAACAATAACTTGGCTTTGTTATGATATTAGGTGTAGAAATGAGCTCCATTTGTTGAAATTCGTTGCTTGATAGCATGTAAATGATGCTCTCATTTTTTCCGAAATTTTGGATGTATATAGTTGAGACATTGATAAGTTTCTATTATTTACAAACTGTCGTTCAGCGTATTTTAAAATGCGAGCAGATAGATGTACTTTATGGCAGTGCATGTTAAACTCGAAAAAAAACGTTGGCGAAACGACGGAATTGCTTAAGCTGGCCTGGAGTGAAAATACGGTGAGCTACAAATTACTTAAGAAATGGTTTGCGAAATCTTGACCAACAAATCTTTGTCTTGAAAACGATGAATGTTTGCAAACCGTCGTAGGCCGGGAAATTGAACTGATATCGGAGTATTCTCCAGAGCCGTTTACTTCTGATTATCACTGGTTCGGATCGATGCAGTTGTATTTAGCAAATCAGCTGCTAACAAAAAAGGCCTATAAGAAAAAAAAAACCGAAGATAACGATGGCAAATATTTTAACTATTGGCCTTTGCAACAAATTTATCTTATATAAATTGAAATTTATTGAAAACATGAATAGACCTTATATTTACACCTAATAAAATACGATATAGTTTCTATTATACAATTTTTAAATTTCTATTATTATTTTGTCGGTTTTTCTTTAAATCATGGTGAATCATAACTTCACGAAGATGAAAAGTTTTAATATGTACAACGACACAAATGTCAAAAATATGGAGCGCCTTTGTGTGGAAATTTCAGGAAATTCTGCATAAATTCAAATTTATTTCTGCGTTTTTCATTTTTGATTTTTCTTTTATTATTTTACATAACAAAAATATTGACAATATTTGATTACAAATATCATAAAAAATTGCAACTCTTTCGCACTTGAGTCGAGAGGATTCTCGACTATTAGTCGAGATCCGTTAACTACTAGGCCACTCATGCCTCAGTCTCATTCCGAGATAGTCTCAGTTGTTAGTGTTTTAAAGATA